TTGATATCAGTCAACCCAGGACTACCAAATAAAATTCCATTATCAATCGCTCTCCTCTATAACACCCTGAAATGCTGTTATTTTTTATAATGCGCAAGAGTGTCTAGGCGAGGCACTTGATTTGCCTTTTGTTTTACACTGCTGTAACTGTATTGACATCAGTAGAGCGACTCCTGATTTATACTGCTGTAAATGAGTGGAAAATTGGGCCCGGATTGCTAGTAGCTATAACATAGTGTTATTCTACTGCACTCTTACACCAATGAGACACACAACCAACACACTACACTACAGCCCAATACACTCGATATGGTCTCTAAGTAGAATCTGCCATTCCAATTCTCATGAGCTTTGGTAATGTTCGCATCCAGATCTGCATATTGGCCCATCTCTACAATATACCGCGGGTAAAAGAATACACCCTAGTAATGCTACATTAGCCCTTGCATGCATTGCAAATAGGTTACACTGCTGCCATGTAATCGATTCAGGACTATCCTCAAACTCTGCTTGGAAGCTGCAGCTATTGCTGAGGGCCGCTACCCACCCGAAGACCAAGGAAAGAAGCTGGGGGCACCACCTGTGCTTGTCTTTGTCCTGGTGTCCTGTTTGCTTCTGAGGTGTGGCTGACAATTTGAAAGCCAGGGATGGTCTGGGATCCAGCGGTTTGAGGGATCGTCTTCCTCTAGGCCCTGTTGCAGCAAAGTCTGCCCCGGTAGGTGACTCTTGCTGTGAGTTCTTGGAGTAAAACCTTCTAGGCCAGTGATTCTCAACCTTTTTGGAGCTCAGGACCCATTTGTAAATGTTTATGGCCTGTCGCGACCCAGCAAATAGTCTGGGGTTGGAAGCCCTGGTGTGGTTTTGGTCAGGTCCTGTCCCCTGTGTGTGTGTGTATGGGGGGGGAGCGGGGGCTTGCATCCTGCCCGGCACTCATCCCACAATGATGGTTCCTGCAGCTCCTTTGCTGTGGGGCGGACTAGGCTTTGCTCTCCGATCCATGCGGTGCAATCTCCGTGGCTGCACCGCTGCTCAGGTTTGTCCCCGGCAGCCTGATTGGACCAAACTTGTGTGAGTGGAGCTGTGACCTGGCTGATGATGTTGCAGAGCCACTCACTCAAATTTGGCCTACCCGGGCTCCCCTCATTATGACAGCTGGGCCAAACTTGAGTGGTGCTGGGACCCAAGAGATTGCAGTGCGTGGAGCAGGGAGGCGAGTCCAGCCAGCCCCGTGGGACAGGAGCTGCCACATGCCCCTTTGAAACATTCTGGCGACCCAATGTTGGGTCCTGACCCAAGGGTTGAGAACCCCTGTTCTAGGGAATTATGGAGCCCCCTGGTGGCGAACGGCATGATAGCCATAAACGGGAAGTAATCAAACCCGTTTGCAGCTGATTGGGTGAAACGGTTGGAACTCTTGGACTAGCTCCAGTGAACCCCACGTAGCTCTGCCAATTTTCACCAGCGGGTTGCTTGCATCTGTGCTAAAGCACACTCTGAAATAGGCAGCCAGTGCTCTCCCATCTCTGGGACTGTCTGTGCTCAGAGATTTGGCAGGGTCAAGGCACAATGCAGTCATATTTAATTAGCGTTTGATTGGTTAAAAACCTGCTTATTTGTCCATTTGAGTATTCCCGACACAATTATGGTAACAGATATCTCTGGGGGCCGCAGAAGTGGCTCTTGAATGCCACCAGGGAGGGAGGAGAGAATTTCATAGAAGTTAGCTTTTCCACCCCTAGCCCCCTTAAACTTGGAAGCTAAAGCACCAAGTGGTATGGTGAAGGTTGTTTTAAGAGTCAGGAATAACTGCAGCCCATTCAAGCACCACCAGTAAGGCATGATAGTAACACTGGGGCAGGGAGAGAAACTTTGCAGGGGACTCAGGTTAAGTTAAAAAGCCCTCTCTGGCATTTCAGAGTCCATCTGTACAGGGCTAACCCTTCCCCCAAACTCATCCCAGTCACCAACCTCAGTCCTCTCCTGTGGCTTAACCCCTTAAACACCAAAAGGCTGATCTTCCTATAAACGCACAATACTAACGGTGGCTCTTCTGCCTCCAGAAGGCTTGGTCCTTGCTTCTAGATAACAATGCCTTCCTCTCTCCTGATATTAGCCCTACCACACTCTAAGGCCCTGAACTTACCAAGGCTCAGGTGCATCTCTGCTTCCCAGCCTCACTGAGCCAACTCTGAATTCCCCAGCTGGGACTTAATTCCTAACGCTCCATGCTGCTGGCTGGGTAGTGCCCCCTACAGGCTACACTTAGGACAGACATGGCTGCAGATACCCCTACCCTATTCCAGGGAGCATTGAAAGACCTGCCCTGCCCTTCACAACTCACCCAGCACTTTAATACTCAGAGCACTCCTGGGGTGGGGTAGGCAGGCATTTCCCCCATCTGATACTGGGTCTCAGAAAGGTTACTTTAGGGACCAAAGGTTACACCGAGAGTCAGCAGAATAGCCAGAAATAGAGACCCGGAGGCCTCCAGCAGAAGTATGCCAAGAATCAAACCCAGGTCTCTTAAAACCCAGTTCACTACCCTAACTACTAGGCCACGGTGCCAAACACACCGTTAAGAAGAGAGTGTTGGGTAGAGGGCCCCAGATGCTCTCCTCCAGCTCCCTCTGGGTGGGAGACGAAGATGGGCCTTTAGCCAAACACTTCAGAATGTTGAAAGTCCAAGTTTGCTTTGACAAAGCACATGGGAGTTCTTCTCCCCATACTGGGTCCCCCTTCCATGCTTAGCGTGATGCCAGCTATTAAGGTGAGGTAGGAAGAAAATGACATGGAGACAACTTGTATGCAGTATTGTAGCTGTGTCGGTCCCAGGATGTTAGAGAGACAAGGTGGGTGAAATGACGTCTTTTACCGGACCCACTTCTGTTGGTGAGAGAGACACGCTTTCCACCTTACACAGAGCACTCCACAAACAATGTGCCCTAGAAAATGGGTGCGTGTATATTTAGTGTTGCATAGGGAATCATCAGGAACAGATGTTACAGTAGCCAACAAGTAGTCACTTCCTGTGTTCCAGGGAGTTCAGACTGTTTCCAGCCCCTCTGATCTAAAAGGACTCCCTTATGCATCTGCCTTTTCATACTTGCTGGAAAGTGAGACGGGGATTTAAAGACACTGAATAATTTCATGTTGTGCTACAAATACTTTTGCATTCCAGTTTTGGGAAGAACTGTCCGGAAACACCTATCCATGGGAGGACACTGGGACTCAATTGATTGACACCGGGTGACACCCGATGACACTGCATAACACTTGTCTGTTTTCTGTCTCTCTGCACCCTCTTCAAACTCCCCTTGAGAAAGTCAGCACTGCTTTTAGCTGCAGATTTGGCACCACACATCCATGTGCAATGAGGCTTTGGCGTGGAAAGAAAGCTCAGCCAGCCATATCTCTCCCATCCTATCTGTTACATGGTGCTGTTCTGTGCTGTTTAACGGCTGCTACATTCCACCTAGAGGTGGTTGTACTGTAGTAGGGGGGAAATGATCTGTACATATTCTCTCTCTGATCCTCATTGAGATGTATTTTCTGCATAATTGTAAAGAGGTTTGTGAAGAAATCAAGTATCTTTTATCATGTACCTATAATGTATCATGAGATATACTACATACATGCAAATAAAGTAAATACAAATTAATAGCCATTTTAGACTACTGACCCTCAATCCAGTTTTTGGCCAGTTCTGTCCTATATCGCAACCAGTACTCGGTGTATAGAGATTCTACCAGAATTCTTGGTTTTAAATAGATTATTAGACACAAGAGATGGAAAAAGACCCATAGTCAAAAGATAAGGTCCCCAACCAAACCCTCAGATCCAAAACAGGCTGAACATGGGAGTATTCAAAATCAGGACTCTGTGACTGTTCGGCCCCCTCTCTAATTAGGTCACTTCTAGCTAGTGCAGAGTTGATGGTTTCCTACAGCGTATACCCCTTTGCTTTGCTCAGTCCGGTTTAAAATGACCCAGGCAACAAACCTCCCACCAGTTCCCTTGGGCGACTATTCCAGACTAGAACATCACAATCCCCATTTAACTCCAGCTCTGCATCTGTTGTTCCAACACACCTAATGATTATGCTTGACACACACAAGAAAGCTGCTATGCTTCTGAAACGTTTAGTTTAACCCCGCTGGTGAAAATGTAAAGGGTAACAAATATCTACCCTTCTCCTCCTCCATCAGAGTGGTGACTGACGGCAGAGGGATCATCACTGAACAGTAACAATAGATATCTAAAATAGCTCAGTCATAGCCTATTTTAAATACAGGATAGAACTATGACAACAGTTGGGGTTGAACCCAGGACTTACAGAACTAAATGCCTCAGTCACAACTATTTGAGCTAAAACATAAAAACAGCCATACTGGTTAGATCAAAGGTCCACGCAGCCCAGTATCCTGTCTTCCAACACTGGCCAATGTCAGGTGCCCCAGAGGGAATGAACAGAAGAGGTAATCATCAAGTGATCCATCCCCTATTGCCCATTCCCAGCTTCTGGCTAATGGCTTCCAGCAGAAGAATGTCAGGAATCAAACCCAGGTCTCTTAAAAACCAGCCCATCACCCTAACTACTAGACCACCATACCTACTACACAATTAAGAAGAGCATGTTGGGTAGAGGGCCACAGAAGCTCTCCTTTAGCTCCCTCTGGGTGGGAGCCAGAGATGGCCTTTTAGCCAAACACTTCGGAACATTGAAAGTCCAGGTTTGCTTTGAGTTGTGGACAAAGTACATGGGCATTCTTACTTCTCCCCAAACTGGGTCCCCCTCCCATGCTTAGTGTGATGTCACACAGAACCCCCTCTTGTATTTAGAAGCTGTATAAGACTCATCTCACTTATATGTACCAGCCCCTAGGAGGAGCGGGGGACAAAGACCCATATTCTTAGCCTAGGTGTCATTGGCAAATGTTGACATTTTAATTCCAGCTGCATTGTCTTTTTGCTCTGTGCTGGTTATTTTTGGCAAAGCTTACCTGTTGCTTCGACCATTCCTTCCAAGATGACCACGATTTCAAACTCCTCCTTCTCCAGCTGGGCACGGGACATCTCCCAGAAGGGGCTCTTCTCGTTGATTTCGTGTGAGATGATGAGTGGTGAAACCAGGAATAGCCTGTCGTCCCCCGTATCAAAGCCCACGTTGATGTCCGTTTGGTTCAAGGGGATAAACTCCCCTTCTTTGGTCTGTTTGGACTTGATCAACTTGGCTCTAATGGAAGCCTCAACAATGTGGGAATTCCGCAGGTCCCCGACCCGGAACATTAGACAGAGCTTCTCATCCCTGATAGAAATCACTGCATTGTTGGAAAACATGAGGGTCTCGGCCCTTTTCTTTGGTTGGCTGATTTTGACAAACATGCACCCTACCATGAACGCATTGACAATGGAGCCTAGAATAGCCTGAATCAGGAGCAGTATGATGCCCTCGGGGCACTTTTCAGTGATAACCCTGTAGCCGTACCCAATTGTGGTCTCGGTCTCAATGGAAAACAGAAATGCGGAGACAAATCCACTGAGATTTTCAACACAGGGGATCCAGTTCTCATCTTCGAGATGGTCCAGATCTCCCCGGATGTAGGCAATAAGCCACCAAATGAACCCAAAAAACAACCATGTGACAGTATAAACCATGGTAAAGACAAGGAGGTTAAAGCGCCACTTGAGGTCCACCAGAGTAGTGAAGAGGTCGCTAAGGTACCGGTAGGTTTCATGGACATTTCCATGGTGCACATTGCATTTGCCACTCTTCTCCATGTAACGCTGGCGCGGCTTCTTGATTTCTGCTGCCAGGAGACGGGTTCGGTCAGTGGCGATAGGGACATAGTCCCGCGGCTGTCTGGGAAACTTCTTGGGATCCATGGGTGTGACTCCAATTTCCATGTCCTGGTTCATGAAGATCCTAGAATCTCCAGCCATAGTTGGGCTAGGGCAGGGTAAAAGGAAACAACATTTAAGACATCGGGAAAATAGCTTTGCCAAACCAGTGCTGCTGTCAGATTACACAAAGGGGTGATAGCACACCGTGCAACATTGACACCATATTGAAACGCTTTGTCTCCTAATCATAGAATGCTGGGCACAAGTGCATCCTGCATGAGAGGAGCTTTTTGGTAGGGCCATTCCCTTCTTCTGGTATTATTTTTGATGCCTCTTTTAAGGTTAAATAATGAGAAGTAATTATTTAACACCTTTATCATGACCTCATTTATAGAGAATGCTAACGGAGTGAAGCAGGAGTGGTGAACTACTTGCTTTGAATGGCCCCTTTCCCTTGGTAGTAAGTTTGCACGTACCTTGTTACGGATTTGGGTCAATACTTTTTTTTTTTTAAATAAAAGCTCTTTAGGCTTCTTTTATACAAGGCAGGGAGGGATGAGAAGTGAAGACAATTTGGACATTTTCCAAAGGGACTAGTGATTTCTGGTGCCTCAATTTTTGGGGGCTCAACTTAAGAGACCTTGAAGGGGCTGGTTTACAGAAAGTGCCGAACACCAACCTTCGGCAAATCAGACGCCCTTGAAGGCAACTCAAGTCAGGTACCCAAAATCACTAGTCACTTTTGAAAAATCTAGTTTCTTAGATCTCTTCTAAAAGGCCCATGGTCTTTGTCAAAATCTTTTCTTGACTAATTATAAACAGAGGATGATATGAGCGCCCGTCACTCCTGTCAGGTTACAATGTAAAATCATCTTCACCGAACATTAAAATTATAAAGTAGATATTGCTTTCTTTAATGGAAACTATTTCTTCTATTGAAAATCAAGAATTCCATCTTCAAACTCAGGGAAGAGAAAGAGTTTCCTGTGCAGAGCTGCCTAAGAAGCCGTCAGTATATCAAAGAGAAAGAGTAGCAACATTCTCCATGATATGCGCTCTCTGCAGTGTCCTTAGCAAATCTTATTAAAACCTAACCAAATCTATTACAGTTCTATCTTTAATCTTCTTATGCATCTGCGAATGGGAAGAGGTACAGAGATACAATTAAGAGTGTCTTGGGAAAGACAAAGCTTAAGGCTGAGCAAAGTGGTTTCAGTTTTTCAATATAAAAAAGTATTAAGGGTGGGTGGGAAGGAAGCAGAAAGACAAATAAACGAGGCAGCGAATTTCTGCTTCCACTGTATTGCAGCCAGTTCTGCAATTCCCAGCAGGGAATTTCTCTTACCCCTTGTATCAAAGCTACATAAATCAACCAAAATCAGCATTTCCAAAAAGCAGCCAGAGTTTATTGATGGAGCCACGTCTACTGGTTCACTACAGCATGGGTGCCAGGGATTGACTAGTCACCTGAGCCAAGATAACAACCTGCCTTTGTAGTTAGAGCAAGAGACTGAGAGTCTAGAAGACCTGGGTTCTAGTCCCAGTGATGGCAAGTTGGCTCCCTCAGCAGAGTTTTTCCTATACGGGAGAAGGAAGCACATGAAAGGGAGATGTTACTGCCACCAGGTGTCCCCCTCTGCAAAGGGGGAGAAGAGAAATACTGTTACTGCAGCTATAGCCAGTGGGCAGCTGGACCCAACTTCTCCTCTGCCATCATTTACCAAACTCTCCTGCCCTCCCGGCACTGAAGCATCAGAATACCCAGCATTGCAGAGCCTGCCTGGTGATGACTGGTGGCAGAGTGAGCTATGTAGCTATTAGCCTAATGTTTTCTGTGTACTGCCCCTTTAACTCTCTTGCAACGTCAGGTCTGATTCTCTGCCGCCTTGCATAATGCGTGTCCATTGACATCTGTGCCCAGTGTGGGTGTCAGAATGGCAGGGTCCGTTTACCCTCCCTTTGTAAATGCCAGTGGCAGGTGCACGTCAGTGGAGAATCTGCATAGAAACAGTGGTTCAGTGCAGTGGAGATAGGTGCAGAAGAAACACACTGGATAGAGACTTTCCCTTTATTCTTTCTTTGCTTGCCCCCCTTTTTTTTATTAATCTAAAAACCTAATTATTGAAACCTAAAAACCAAAACAGGTTCTGGTTGCTTGAGGGGTGTGGAAAGGAAAAAAAAAAGTGTCCACTTTGTAGGCAAATTTGTGCATGATTTCAGTCAAAAAAGAAACTGTACTAAAGACAATAGTTTTAGTTGTTAAGGGTATGTGAAGTGAAATTCTGCTGTCAGTGACACTGAAAGAGAGCACAGCATAGCCCAAGACACAGATATGAGGGATTAGATTCTATACAATGCAAGACAGGAAAAGATCAAAATCTGGTCAGAAATCAAAAATCCCTGCAACCCTGTCTCGTGAAAAACAGCCTGGAGAGACTAGCTGTTAATGAAAGGACATTGAAACCTGCCATAAGCAAAAGCACCCAGGGGACTGGCAAAAATTGGTTGCTAGGACAGCTGGTCTTTAACTACAGGTCACGTGAAATTGTTCGGGAAATCTTGGGGATACTTAAAAGAGAGCCCTCAAAGCAGAAGTGTTGCCTGTTGCAGGTGAACTGTACTGCCCATTTCACTGTAATTAGAATTTGTCCTAATATTTAATCTTCATTTCCTCTGTTGCAGTTTAAGTCTCTTCTAGCTGAGTGATACAAGTAATCGATCACAGTCCTCTTCATGTAGGAGATTAATTTCTCTTCTTAAAGGAGGAAGCATGATCTAGCAGTTAGAGCACAGGGTTAGGAATCAAGAGACCAACCTGGGTTCTATTTCTGGCTCTGTCCATGACCGACTTGTAACCTTGAGCAAATTGCTTCCCCTCTCAGAGACTCAGTTCCCATCTGTAAAATGGGGGATTAACGCTACTTCTATTTATAAAACTAGGCAAATATAATTGTAGGGAACCTCCCCTGACCACAGAGGTTTGAAATCGCCCATTTGTCAACATAACATATAGCAAAAAGGGAGAACAGTACAGATATAAGTTTGAATTCCTCCTTTATTCCACAGACATAACTACGCTCCCCATGCACACACATCCCCCCTGGTTAATGGTAACTGAGTGCAAGCAGGCAAGGGAGAATTAGTCTTCAGTTTGTGAAGCACTGCTCTCTCTCTAGCAGTAGATTCAGAGATTGGAACTGCCTCTGATGGTCAGTCACAGGTACCACTATGTTTCACTGGCATTTACTGTCCTTGGTTAAACAAGGCCAGGGTAATAAAAATGTCACTTTTGTACAAAGCCACATGCTCCTTTTAGACAGGCTGCTGGAGCTGCTGCAAAAGGAGATGAGAGTCGGTGCATTATCAGTTCGGCAAAGAGGCCTTTTATCAGGCTTCTCGGTATCGCTCAGCTTTTGTGCAGATGCCAGACTTGAGGAGAGGAGGGGGCACTAAGGGAAAGGATCTTAGGTTTGCTGAAATAGAACGAGATGGCTTTTAGATGAATTTCAGAGGGTATCGTTTTCCCATGGCTGCTTCCATACAGAGTCGATGTACCTCTTGCACGCCCCCGAAACAAACACCCCCAAAAAGTCAAGAGCGGACTTCTGTTTTCTTAGCAGGGTTAATTTTTTTTTTCTTGTGAAGAATTTATGTCAAATCCAGATTTCATTAATGGCAATGGGGATTTCATCATTAACTTCAATAGGGACAGGTTTTAACATTTTTCTTGGAGGGGAAGGATGGCCTTATGGTTAAGGCAAAAAGAGACAGGACTCAGGAGAGCTAGGTTCAATTTTTACCTCTGCCAGAGGCTTCCTACGTGACGTTGGTTAAATCACTTAATCTCTTTGTGCCTCAGTTCCCTCTTTATAAAGTGGGGATTATACCTCTTCCTTTCTTCCACCCTTTCTTCTGTCTTGGCAGTCGGACTCATAACCCTTTGGGACTGTTCCTTACCAGGTGTTTGTACAGCGCTAGCATGGTGGGATCTTAATCATGGCTGATGCCTTTAGGCACTGTGGGAATTATTTGTATAATATAATAAATAATAATAATAATAATCTGGCAATGTATTGTGTGAGAATCCAGAGAATCATAAAAACAGAAGGAAAATCGAAACAAATCCCTTTTGTCACCTTATTACAATGGTAAGTCAAATTGGTTTTTCCTTAACAGAAACATATCGTTCAAAACTTTCCACAGCCATGTGAACCGTCTGTCCACTAACAATAAGACGTTTATATTTATAAAACTACCACCCCTTAGGGAGCAGAACTGCCAATCTCTGTTCCAGAGGGGTTTGGAATAGTGGGCCGGGGAGCTGCAATGTAGATCAGGACTGAGACGCTCTGGTAGTTGCATGGGAGCAGAGGGCTGGTTCTGCAGGTTTGGATTGACGTGCATTAGCAGAGCTGCGTGGAGCCCCGGACTGGAATATCAAAGGGTTCTGCAGGTCAGGACTGTGGTGCACCAGCAGAGCTGTGTGGATGCTGCACCTGTCTGCACTATGCCTCTTTCTAAATTTGATCACTTCAAAGCTGTAGAAGCCAGGCTGCACAATAACAATACAGGAATGGAGTCTGAGAGAGAGGCCAGGGCAGAGGGACAGGCAGTCAGTCAGGTACAGTAATAGACTGCTGGATAAACACTCCGATAGAATGATTATTGCTGAAAGATCTGTTCTTTTGCTGCCCCTCTGCCTGTGCCACATCGAATGCAGCCATAGCCCTCAATCTGAGATGCAGAGTCCCTTCTTGTTACATCACAGCAATCAAATTAAAGTACCTGACTGAAGGAGGCCCATAGAGGTGGATCCCTATCACCAGGAATAGATAACAGACAGATCTGCAGGCAAATGGATTGAAACAGAAAAGTTCACAGAAGGCAAACTGAGCAGAAGCCAGGGTGGAATGGAGGAATGCCATTAGGGAGGGCTGGCCATTGCAAATCTATTGGGTAGTGGATGCAGGCTAGAGAGATGATTATTGCCAAATGGATCTTTATTTCCCTGAAAGAAGGTAGCTTTCCATTCACTTATTTCATTTATTGCCTGTACTTCATGAGGGTGAATCTGTCTGTGGCACCTAAGTGAAAGTACA